CATTTCATAAAAATTGCTTAGATTGTAAGAGAAGTTTTAAGAATTTCGTTATTTAAAGATTGTCTCTTTATTTCGCTATGATTTTGTGCAACTTTAAGCTTTTAAGACAGGATAGCAAAGTGCGTTTACAAATTGATGAGTTAGATTTACCCCGAAATCCTCGTCTTACTAGGTGAAAAAGTCCAAGTTCTACTTTAGTTTAAAAATCCAGAATTTCAGGAACAACCGGCACCTTCAGGAGCCGCTTATTACCAGGATTTCGGCAATCAGCCCGTTTGTAGATAATTACCTTTTCTTTACAAAGTCTCTTTTAGACCCCCAGACCTCAACCCAACCACCACTATGTTGCAGCAAGACCGGCGAGACCAAACCCCCAGGTATGGTCTTAATTTTTACCTATGTACTTTTATTTATGTAAAAACGTCACGAACAAACATTTATGAATGTGATTCAGCCACAAACGACAAGACTTCCTGGATATGGGCAAGGAACGGGAGCAACGTTGGGCGGTCGAACAGCAACGACGACTGCACAGGTTCGTCTAGACTGCTCCAGCACTCCGACTTTTTTTCTTTTTTTAGGAATTTATGTTAAACAAATCACAGTCTTTGTTTTCTTTTTGGCAATCCTTTTATTTAGCCGCAGAGACCTCGGCCTACCCTCGGACAAGGAATGAGAGCTGGAACAACACTCGGAACCCTATCTGCAACAATCCACACTCAGGTGAGCTCGAAAAACTTTTCTATTCAAAGTTTTGAACTGTTGCAATGTCAGAAAAACTAAACTCAATACTAGTTGAAACAATTTTTAGAAGAGTTTTGGTTTAAATTGAAAGGGGAAACCCGCTTAGGCTTCTTCCTCTCGAAATGCCCTGGACACACCAAGAGCCTACAATCACTATGATCTGTACGGACACAACACCATTCCACAGGTAAACTAGAAATCAGAGATGAGTAAAATAAATCCCAAGTCTAGTCAAAACCGTTGAAAGATTGGGTGAGCGTGTTGGGGGCTCAACGAAAAATGGCTCACATCCTCGACACCATCGAGCAGCATTCCTCGTGGAGTGACTACCGCTTTTTGATGAACACAAGCTATTCGGACAAAGTGCAAAATCGATATCAAAGCAGTGCTGCAGCTTTGCTAGCGTGGGTTTTTCAGGGTTTCAAAATTTGATTTCTTCTAGATTGGGCAGCCTGAACGAAACGCTTGAGCTGATCTCAAAGTATGTGCAGTTCATTTTGCCGACGAAATTGGTGCAAATCGGAAGAGTGGCTGGAAGTGGGGTTTGAAGGGTTTAAAATAGAATTAGCAAACTAGAAAACAATGTAGTTTTTGCTTGGGATTGAAACTAAATAAACAGATATAAATTTGCTTTCTTTAGCCCCACTCATCAAAGATCTCGATCGGCTTCAAACGGGCATCGAAGTGGTCGGTTTTGTTCGAAAACAGATTCTAAAACCTTCTTAGGAAATGGCTGGAAGGCAGATGATTGTGGAGGGCCTCGATGAAGAGCTTCTCATCTATGGACTCCCATTCTTCCTCTTGAGAAACAACACGATTCGATCGATTTGGTGAGTGGTCATAGAATGCAAGAAACTGATTTAAAAGTGAGCACGTAAAAGAAATTGAATAGAGTAGCCGCATTATACTAACAAATGTGTTCAAATCATCATGGTTTTTGTTTCAGGTTCTGGAAAGACACGGCGAGAACTCAGTGCGCGTTCATGTCGCCAGAAGTTGACTTTCCTAGAGATCAACGAACCCAGGTTTTTTAGCACTCTAAATTTGAACTGGAAAAGTTATTTTAATTTACAATTTAATTTTCTTTTCACTATTTATTAAAGAAAAACTATTTTGTTTTACAGGTGGTAGACGTTTGGAAGCGGGCAAGAGCCGAGAGGAACCCCCGACCACGAAACGAGCACAGAAATCTGCAAAGACAGAATCGATCGGGAAGCGCGATGCCCAGGAACAGGACTACAGCAAACAACAACGACAACAAGTAACTTATCGAATATCTACTAAATATCCAAATGAACTTAAGAAAATTAACACTTATTTCGGAAATTTAGTGGAAACCGTTCATCAATTCCCACCACTATGCCGGCCGCTCCCTCGTCCGCCACCACTCAAGGCATCGAGGATTTGAGCTGTCCGATTTGCTATGAAGACTGTAAGTTAAATGTTTAAATTTAAACGTAGGAACTTTAATTTTTAATTTTTATTTCTACATCAAATAACTACAAAAGTTTAGACAACGCGGATGACTCAAAACCGCTGAACCTCGTCCCATGTGGACATTCGGTTTGCTCTACGTGTCGACCAAGAATGTGAGTTTAAGTCAAACTCAACAGTGTTTAATTTGTTTTAAACAATAGGTTCTTATTTAGCGACTTGTTTCAAGTAATCCGAGAACACTCCAACTTTTAGCGACCATTGCCCGACATGCCGCTCGAATATCACTGGCAGCTCGGTGGCTTTCACTGTATTGGGTAAGTTTGGCTCAATAAACAAGTTATACCCAAGAAAACATAAAAATATAAAGAACTAAGATTAGAGTTATGATTTATCAACAAACAACCAACTCAAGGTGTCATCGAGGCGCTGTCGAAAGAGAACGCCGAGCTGGCTGCACTTCGAGCACTGAAGGAGACACAAGTGGGTAGACTTGAGGAGTTTAGTGTATATGGTTGCTTAGAAATCTAAACGACTGAATCAAATTTTAGGAACGTGAACTGAAAGAGTTGAAGGAGAGAGAAGAGAAACTGAAAGCGGAACTCGAAGCGGCCAAGACTGCCCCAAAAGTAGAGATCCCTATTGTTGAGGCGAAACAGGGAGGAAGACCAAGAGGGCAGAATGAGCAACCTAGAGATCAGGTAATCTTGTCTTTAGTAGTTCCAAAAAATGTTTTTTAGAATAACAACAAGAACAAGATCTTCATCGATCAATTGCCGAAGGAGTTTACGATAAAGGGCGTGATCGAGGTGCTTTTTAATGGAGGAAAGGACTTGATGAAGCATGAGAGTGGAAGGTTTGTTGAAAAGCGAGAACGGAAAAAGGCTAGATGCATAATAAGTATTATTCAAAGAAAATTTTGGTTCAAAATTAGCATATTATGACTTCTAGACCCGAGGTCTCTCTTCGCCAGGCCGGCGACCATCAAACGTGTGTCGCGAATTTCACCTCAACAGAGGCGGCTGAAAGAGTAAGTCTTGTCCTTAAAGAGTTTAAATTTTTTCCAAATACGGGATGCAATAGTTAGAAAAGCTAGAGTTTTGATACAGAAAAACCCTTTTCTAGGTGATCTCAAAGTGGAACGGGAGGCTCATGGACAATTGCAAGAACCTCTTGGTTCGAAAGTTCATCATCGCCAACAACGGACAGCCCCAGAACCAAAACAATAGGAAGAAAAATAACGGTTTGTTGAGACATTCTCGTAAAAGGAATATCAACTTTAGGTAATCAACGACGGAACAATCAAAACAATCAAAACAACCAAAACAACCCATCAACGTCGAGACAAGGACAAAATGGACAGAATCAAGAAGCTGGGAAGAAAAATGGAAACTCGAATGAAAATACTACAACAACTGATGCTGAAAGACAGGTTTGTTAAACATTTTCTGATAGGTTATCAGAAAAGTGACTCTTTCAGTTCAGGTCCTTGACTTAACCCCTAATAAAACAGGGGAAAATGTGAGGAACCACCAGTCATTTGTTTTATTAAGAGTGTGAGCTTGAGCTATTCAGCATACCTTTATTACTTAAAATCTAGAAAAAATTACTTGAAAAACAATACTATGAAACTCTAGTGCCCACTTTTCAGCGACGTCGCCTTCGAATCACCAAAATCCCACACGGAATCGACGAGGATTTCATCCGATTGCTTTTCCATGGGAAATTGATTGACGGAGCTTATTGCGAGATCGAGATACTCAGAGGGAAACTTTTGTAAGTCTCAAAAAATATTTATAGGAGCAAAGTTTTACATCTTAACTCTTTCAGAATCGATCTTGTTCCGGCAACGGAGGAAACGTCTTGTGACGGCCGATGCATTATCACCATGAATACGCCAGAGGCAGCGAAAAAGGTAGTTCTTTGGAAATTAAAGCCATTGTAAAATTCTAAATCTTTATTTTCGAACAAAAGTAAAATCATTTACGTTCAGATTCAAACCAAGTTCTGCAACTGGACCATCCCAGGTTCGAACAACAAATTGGGAGTCGCCTACTGGCCATGAGAGTGATGATTTTGGTGAAATTTGGAGTTTATTATTGTCTTTTTTTATTGCACAAAAATAGAAAATAAAACTATTTGCATGTCTCTTTTTGGCTAATCGCATAATCAAATCACTTTCCTTCGGTCTTTTTCTCAATCATGATCATTTAAAGAAATCATTAGAAAGACAAAAAGCCTCATTTGCATTTGAAAACAGTTTTCGCGATCGATGGGAAAAATGTAAAGCTTTACAACTTAAAAACGTTTTGTGATTGTGTAAGTCAGATTGTGTTAGGCTATTTTTAAACGCTTATTAAACGCGTATTTTGGTCCTTTTTCAACCTATGTTTTAACCGAACCGCAACTCTGCGTTGTGTATTTTTCGACTTTACCCGAACCGGGCCAAAACATAGACGTCGGCCTTTCCTGAACTTAATCGTAGCCGAAAAATGAACCACAACACGCCTAATACAGTTATTTTGCAAACTTTGCAATTTATTTAATGCATGCATGCAGTTTTCCTTTTACAACACGCTGATATTGCGAAAAGTTTTCCGTAAAAGATAAAAATAGGGGTCGATCTCTGAAAAGGGGTTCTTTCATTTTTACTTTTTTACTAATCCCCAACGCCCCCTTTCTGTTATCTATTGTTAGAGAAAAATGAAATCTTTCAGTTCAATGCCGATCCGTGTCCGTATACCGAGAGAAAAGTAGCTTATTTTTCCGAGTACAAAAGTAAAGGAGGCCATGAAAAGCGCACTTATTTCCGGCCGTCACTGATGTCCGCCTTGTATGCTTTATTTCTCATTGTGGTGATCGGTGCCCTAGATGAGGATGTTGACAAAACGTACAATCTTGACGCCAACTTTTGGAACCTCGTTTATACATCATTTGATGGTAAATTTTAATAAGGATCAGAGTGGTGCTTTCGAAAATTCGTTCAATTAAGGGAGCGGACGGACATTATTTCAACGATTAAATTTCAACGATTTTTGCATTCAAAAAGTTGACTTTATGGACTTCCAGAATTAAAGTCCATACAATTCTACACTAAATTTGTACAAATACAAGTAAAATTTCGAAAAAATGACGACTTTTTGAACGAAAATCGGGAAGTTTTCGTCCCATTTATTAGGTTGATGCAAAAGAAATTTCGTTTTTGTTTTTTACAAACATTACAATACAAACACCATACAAACAAACAGCTAACTTCCTTTAGATAACAATAGATTCCAAACAATAAGCACCATCGTTATCTATTAGGTTGGCAAGTTATGAACGATCGCTTGCTTTGCTCAATGATTTCTTAGAGTAAACTTGTTTATTTCATCGTAAAAAACGTTCTATAAAATAAACAAATTGTTGCCTAAAACGATCGTTTATAACTTGCCAACCTAATATAACATCCCTCCAGCGCTGCTTCAGATTGCGGATCCCCTTATCGAAGAACTCTTAATTCTGTGATTGAAAGTAGTCGATCACCCAGATCTCGACCTCTTGCCCTCTCGTGTTGTTTGCATTTTTTCCGAGTACAAAAGTAAAGGAGGCCATGAAAAGCGCACTTATTTCCGGCCGTCACTGATGTCCGCCTTGTATGCTTTATTTCTCATTGTGGTGATCTTCTGCATTGGATTGGCTTCTGCATTGGATTGACTTCTGCATTGGATTGGCTTTTGCATTGGATCGGCTTAAGTTGTTCCAATTCATTATTATCGATAGCTGCCGAGCGATGTCCATGTGGTTCGTCTCCAAGAGATTCAATACCTTCTCGAAATCCGGAAAACCAGATCTTTTGGCATGATCTTTTGCTCATAGCTTGTTCTCCAAAAGATCACCATGTGATTCGGCAGCGTTTTCGCCCATCTTGAAATTGAAGAGAAGACACGCGCGCACAACATACTTTTGACCCGCCATGATCTAAAGCAAATATCAATTAAAAATTGAAAGCTCTGACTTAGAAAAAAGCGTAAAAATAAAGAAAATATTCAAGAATACAAATATAAAGATCGAATAAGATTTTTAGATTAAAAAAACAACATTTTACATTTTATTTTATACGAATTTTTAAAAAAATTTTATACGAAATTTCTTTTGCATCAACCTAGTATGTGACGAATTTTCTCAATTTTCTCAATTTTTCTGAGCTAGATAGCAATGATTTGACCATTTTTCAATGAAAAAAGTTTTTTTTTCTTTTAAACCCGAAACTTCGGGACAGTTAGAAAAGGAGGTTTAAGTCTGAGATTATAAAACTTTCAGCGCAAGCCCCACAAACGATTCACATAAGCTGGAATGAAGAGGAAATCGGGAAAACGGCTCGAATCGATGTCTCTTGGCTTTGCCCTATGAAGCCTGTAGCTGTTATTCGAAATTTTTAATGTTTTGTAACCATTGAAATAAGTTCTAATTCGGTCTCATTGGTAAATTAAATTCATATTTGTAAATGAATGCATTAGTTGACCCATTTCTGTTTCAATATCGCAGTTTAAACACTTTCTACGCAGAAAAAGAGCCCCAGCTTGAAGTCCTGAAAACTTTATTTGTAGACTGAAATCTTGTATGAATGCATCGACGCGGTCGGGTGGATTATCGACGATGTGCCGCTGAGTTTCGGCCAAATACAAGCCTCTCCACAGTGCGCCGTTGAGTGAGTGAGAGGGTATTTTGTAGAGGGTTGGGCAAAATTACGGCTACACCTTTTCAGCAGATTGCATGCCAAACGCCGCAATCAATTCAAAAACCCTGAGGCTTATATAGAGAATTAAAGCCAGAATTCTTGCCGACATTTCTGTATCAAAAAGTCTGGATTAAAGTTTTGCAGCCCATTTTACAGAGCCTTAAATGAGCCCACCGCTCTCCGGGATGCTGTCATTTGTGACTGTTTTCTGACGGATATTTTCGCGTATTTAAAACATGAAGATGTAGGATTTTGTCTGGACGATGATGAACGATAACACCAAAGCGCTTAGACAATGTTAACCTAACCAAAAAATTGAGCTGAAGACAATCTTCTTTTGACGCTTTTCAAATCCAGCAAAAAACGGGTTCAACTCTCAGTCTTTTATATGCGTATAAGCTGTCCTGTGGCTATAAATTTGTTAAAAATAAATTTTTAATAAAAAAAGATATGCTTGGCTAAAGAAAAACCCTTTCTTAAAGCGAAATTTTTTTTCAGAAAACAGCCACAAATGACAGGTCCCGGAGATCGTCGTTCGGAGATCAGTCGAAATGGGCTCATTTAAGGGTCTGTAAAATGGGCTGCAAAACTTTAATCGAAGACTTTTTGGTGCAGAAATGTCGGCAAAGAGTTCTGGCTTTAATCCTCTATAAAACACTTAGGGTTTTCGAATTGATTGCGGCGTTTGGCATGCAATCTGCTGAAAAGGTGTAGCCGTAATTTTGCCCAACCCTGTAGGATGGTTCGAGGTTCAGAGTTCGGGGTTCGGTTTCGGTTTAGAGTTTGGGTTCGGTTCGGGGAGCTTCAAAAGCTCAGTTTCGCAGAGGTTCGGGTTCGAGAAAGTCCCAGACCCCGAACCCCTCCGAACCTGAGCTTTCCCAAAAAATTTTATAACCGAACTAAACTGAACCCGAACCTGAACTCATACTGAATTTTACAAAATGCCGAGTGAGAGGCCAAGAAGCAAATGTGTGTGCCATCCTTTACTCGACAAAATTTCTAGAGGGACTGATGCGGATTTCCTCTTTGTAACATGTTATCTCAACGGCTCTGTGCCGCCGAAAAGGTTCACCTACAACTCGTCGGTGGATCTGATTGGGACTGAATGGGGCTTCTATTCGGCGATTTCCGTGCAATCGGAGGATTTTTGCGATCGTAAGTCGAGATTTGCTGACTTCCCGGGTCCTAATGAATGCCGAATGTGCGTTTCGTTTCTGCATAAAACACTGCTAAGATGATAATTCAAATTGAAATTCACGGTTTTGTCTTTTTGTCTCTTTTCTGTTTTTAGCTTACACCGACTATCGCTTGTTGACGTTCACCAACGGCAACACAACAGCCATGCCATCGTTGCAAGAAGTAGATTTCGGGGGAAATTACCCGAGACTCCGGTGGAGCGTCCTTCCGCTTGGTTTGAACGGGAAAATCAAGCGAATGATTGCCCATTTGGGATTGGTTTGTCTTATAAGAATCATACTTTATTCAGTAAATAAAATTAAATGAGATACAAGTGAAAAAGAATTTTCGTCTTTAACCAGCAGAACAGCCCACCTAACTGCTTCAGAAATCGTAAAAATGATTGCCAGAAACGAATTCCCTGTGTTGGAAAACTTCAGCATGCAAATTTCGTAAGATGCAAATTGCATCCATGACGCGGTGTATAGCGCGCTCGCCTCACCCGCACACGGCCCGGCTTCGACCCCCGCCACTGACCACCTGCTTTGACTTTTTGCAAGAATTTTTTTAAAAAGCACATCTACATGAAATTTGATTAGACACGTGTTTCATCGTTTTTTAAAATACTCAAAAGGTCGCCCGTAGTGCGCGCACGGACGGACAGAGATTATTTTTTATATCTATTTGGTTGTTCGGATATAAACAAGCGTGGCTAAAAATTTTTTTTGTGAGAGAAGCTTTTAAAACCTGTCTTTCTTTATTTAAAAGTGTATTATCTTGTGCCCATTTGGAATTTTTTAAACGGATAATTTCTTATTTTTAAGATTTTGCTCTTTTCTTGCTTTAGATGACCGACTTCAAATATCAAGTTCGCGTGTGTCTTTTTCTGTTTCTGTTTTCTGCCTACTTTACGACTTCAAACTAGGCAAAACAGCCGCGGAATCCCATCGAGATTTGGTCAAAGCATTTGAGAATGATGTATTGTCCGAAAGCCGATGCCGAGCCTGGTTTCAACGCTTACGGAATGGTGATGAAAGTCTCGAGGATGACGAACACTCTGGTCGACCTCAAGCGGTAGACAACCTTATTTTCAGAACTACAATCGAATCGGATCCATGTCAAACGAGGCGTGAACTTGCTCAACAGTTTCTATGTTCAAATTCTACTATTGATGAGCATCTGCACGCCATTGGAAAGACGGTCAGATGCGGGAAATGGCTTCCTCGCGAGTTAAGCAGTGCAAACGAGGCTTCACGGGTTGCTATTGCCGGAATTCTCATTCGCCACGCTAAAGATCTTGGTTTTTTCGATTCTCTCGTTACTGGAGATGAAAAGTGGATCTATTTCGATAATACTATTCGAAAACGGCAATGGCTAGGACCAGGAGAACGGCCAAATCCGATCGTAAAACGGGACATTCATGAGGAAAAGGTCATGCTCTCAATATGGTGGAATAACAAGAGCCTTGTGTATTTCGAGCTTCTAAAACCCGGCCAGACAGTCACATCAGACCTCTACAAACAGCAACTTGATCGGGTCAAAGAAGCTCTCATTCGTCAAGGAGTAGACACATCAAAGATAAAGTTCATCCATGACAACGCTAGACCTCTCGTTGCAAAAGTCACTCAGCAAAAACTCGAGCACCTAGGATGGGAGGTTTTACCACCTCCAACGTATGCTAATCATTTGAAATCTAATTTTTAGTAAATGCACATTGCTTTATTACTTTCGCTTTTAAATATTCCAACCTCAATCTCCGAATCGGGCTCAATGTTATAGAAAATGAGAAAATGAGTCAAAGAAAATGTGATGAGAAAATGTGATGAGAAAATGTGATAGAGAAGCGATGCTCTGAGCCACGATGAGATGCTGAAGTTTTAACCCTTGCAAAGAATTTTTGCACTTTAAAATTTTCTATTACAAGATTTCATAGCTTTATTCTAAGACAAACTAAGAAAAAAGTTTTAATGCAAAAAAAAGTGGTGATAAAAATATTCACGTTGTTCTAAATAATGTTGCTCTCTCGAACGCGGCGGTGGAGAAGAAAATTGTCGAATACGTGGAAAAAGGCTAGAATGATAAGTTCAAACAATTTTAAAAAGGGGTTTCCCAAAGTTATCCCATTTTGACAGGCAAAAATTCCGATCACAACAAAGTTCCCCATTGAGCGCCTATTTTATATTAGATTGGTTAATAAGTCACGCGAAAGAGAAGAAATTTTACTGTAAAGTTTTAGTTGGCCCTCAGTGTTTACCACTAAAAGAGATAATCGACTTCCCTTATTTCAAAACAAGGCCTTTCAAAGTCGTCCTCGCCTCGTCGCATGCCTCGTCAAACCTCGTCAAATCGTTTACTGTCCATCCAAAGTCCTCCCTCCCGGTATGCTCGATTTTGCTCGACGATGGGTCTTTCATTGATTGAGCATGCTCTCTTATTTCTTTATAAACTATTAGGTACATGCAAGGTACATGCATAAGAAATGTGGATGAACTTTGATAGCTTTTATCTCATCAAATGTTCAACATTTTTATCTAATTCTTTTTGCATTTTTCTAGCCACGTTTGACTAGTTTCTATTACTTCTCAACTGCAATTGTTTCTATGCTTTTTATATTAGAGATCGAGAACCTCAAGTATCGCGTCCGTGTACGTATGCTCTACGACTTCAAGCAGGGAAATAACGCTGTTGAATGCCATGAAACATGCCCTTCTCATTTTCTAATCGTTATCGAATAGCTCGAAAACCTGATCACTTCTCTGATTATCCATATTCTATGCCCGGGCAACTCAAATGATGTTGATGCACACGAAAACAAATCGATAATCTTTCTTTCTTTCAAGATTTAGTAATGTTCGATCGCTTTTCCGGATGGAGTACTTTTAAAATCAATTAAATTTTTGGATACCTTTGCTGTGTTCTTTTGCAACTCTACGAGAACCCAAACAACTCAAATTAGACAAACTAGAGATCATTTAAAAGAGCGAAAAAACAATCAATTTGTCAATTAAGGCTAGCATTTCAACTAGACATAGTTAGCCTGAAAAGAAAAAGAGAAAACCTTGTCAATCTCTGTCACTGCATTCCAAATCATCTAAACTTCATTGATCTCGGAAATTTCTGTTTTTTCTGAAAAGAAAATGAGACTTATTTTTTATTTTTTTGGAACTTTCTTCTTCAGTTCTTTAGTGTTCTCTACAAAAATCTCAGGATGGGTCTTCTCTCTTCAAAAGAGGTCAGAGTTTATGTAAAAAGAAGTGTAAAAGGCTTTGGATTAATTGAAAATTCGTTTTGACTCCCTTTTGAATTTCTAAAACAAAACTATAACCTAAATTTTATTAGAAACTTGAAAAAACGTTGACTTTCTATCAAAGCTTTCACTCTTTAAAAAGACAATGTATTCCATTCCATTCTACTCGAATCGATATCCATCTGATTGTCAAAACAAGCCATTATCTTTGCAAAAAATATTGGTTCTTGAATGCATTTTTCTTTCCATTTCCTCCTACCCCAAAACATACAACACCGTTTTAAAGGAATCGATGAAAGCTTTGATCGTTCGAGATTTTTTTTGCTTTTGTTTCTATCAATCAAAATAGCTTTGTAGAGGGTTTTTTGAAAGCTCTGCTCTCAACCTAAGCTGTCCAGCACTGGGATTAGCTGCTCGGTTCAACTTTTTCTTTAGACGACATAAAAGAACCTTTAGCTTTACTGAAATTTACCCTTTTCACATCTTCACATCACTGTACAGAATTTTGTCAGTTTTTGAGTTGTTTGTCTAGTAGTTCAGCTCACCTTCACTAGAGGAACAGCTCAACAAATTTTAGTCTTTAGCATCCTGTTGAAAAGATTTACTTTCTAATATTTCCAAAGTTTCTAAGTCTTTGGGATTTTTGCTTACAATACGTAAGCATTCTAAACATTCTCTCTTTCGAAATGCCCCTTTTGGAGTCACCGTGCTCTCAAAAGTACTCTCGATTTTCATTGGATAAGCTAAAAAAAGCGTTCCCATTCCATGCGGGGCTATTTAATTGGCTTAAAGGGGATTCCCCAAAATAAAACTGTTTATACAACTGGTAAAACTGGCTTCAACTTTATTCAAATTTCACACTTTTTTTCGCCTTTTAAGCCAGTATTTTTAGCAGCTGAGCCTTTTGCTTCGTATTTTTAACAACGATAAGATTTTATTAGAAACTTGAAAAAACGACGTTGAGCTTTCTATAAAAGCTTTCACTCTTTAAAAAGATAATGTATTCCATTCCATTCTACTCGAATCGATATCCATCTGATTGCGAAAACAAGCCATCCCCTTTGCAAAAAATATTAGCTTTCGAATGCATTTTTCTTTCCATTTCCTTCTTTCCCAAAACATACAACATCGTTTTAAAGAAATCGATGAAAGCTTTGATCGTTCGAGATTTTTTTTGCTTTTTTTTTTCTATCAATTAAAATAGCTTTGTAGAGGGTTTTTTTGAAAGCTCTGCTTTCAAAAAGATATTTTTTTTGTTTAAACTGAGAGATCAGATTCATTTTCGTATTATATTTATACTATTAGGGTCGTCCAAAAGAAACTGCCGATGGGTATCAGCTCTCATTTATCAGAAACGAGCGATGCTAACGGCATTATTTTTTTTAATGTTTTGTTCGCATATTTGTTTGCTATTTATTTCGACATTTGAATTTTTTGGTTGTTGTTTATTTTATTTAAAAATGCTGATATTTTTTATTTAGATCATGGTCGAGCAAAAGTTTAACTTCAGATTGGAAAGTCTGCTGCGAATCGCATCGTTCTCTCTGTGCTGCTTTCGGAGATGGCAGTTTGTCTCTCAGGCAGTGTCAGCCTTGGTTTCAACGATTCCGAGAGGGAGACGAGACTTTGGAAGGTTACGAGCACGGTTCGAGGCCAGAAGTCGTGAACGAAGCCGACGTTGGACGTTATTCAGGCCGATCCATGCCAATCTGCTCGAGATCTTGCGAAAATATTCCATTGTGATCATGTCACCATCGAACGCCATCTTTTTTTGAATTTCCCGTCAAATCGGCAGTTTCTTTTGCACCACCCTAATATTATCATATCAGGCAAAAAAAATAAACCAAAATGATCTATAGAAATCCGCTGTTTTTATTTTTCCTGGTTTAGAACTGATTCTTTGGGGAATCTTTCACTGAATATCAATACTTTCAATCATAGATTGTGTTTTTTTTTCTTTAAATTCTTATAGATTAATATTGTTTTCAATTTTTGATTCAATATTTGTCTCTAATTTTTTCAGAAATGGCTGCAGAAGGCCCGCCACCCCGTCTTTGCCTTCTCACAAAGGATCGACAAAGTCAGGTAAGAAAAGTATCAAATCTGAGGAATAAACTGAAGAACTAAATTTATTTAATCACTATACGAAATAGTACGCTATGTACATAGTACTATTCGTACTTACGGTTGTTAGAATGTTTTTTTTACTCATTCATTGTAGAGAAAGAGGGTTTTTATCCCCGAAATTTTTGGATTTACGGAATTTTAGACTTTCCGAATGTGATTCAGCCACAAACGACAAGCCTTCCTGGATATGGGCAAGGAACGGGAGCAACGACGACTGGACAGGTTCGTCTAGACTGCTCCAGAGTAAGACGGCTCCACCACTATATTGGAGTAAGACCGGCGACGCCAAACCCCCAGGTATGATCACCAAACCAAACCCCCAATCTTTACCTACCGTAAATACTGTAATTGGACCCCATGGGGTACTATTTTTCCCTCTCCCTCTAGGGTGGGGTACTATTAGAGGGTGGGTTACTATTTTACACCACTATTCGAGTTACCAAATCAGGATACATTCAAATAATTTGTTCAAAAGCAAACTTTTTCTTTAGTTTTTATTGGTTTTAGCCATTTGAAAATTTAACAGCAAAACGAAACAAAAGCAACTAACAAGCGAAATTAATAGAAACATCCGAATCAATGAATTCATCATTTTTTTGGTCATCAATTCCTCGATGTCCTTGAAATCCCGTCGATGCGAGCGGCTCCAAGAGGTCCTCGATTTCCGTCTCTGTCCGAGCATTTCTCATCGCTTGTACAATAGATTAAAGATAATAATTAAAGATAAGTCCACCGAAAGAGCGTTACAAGTATTCC